AGTTCTGCACCACTTAAGATTAGAATTACTCCTTTTATACTAGCTTGGAAAAGTATTTTCATGAGCAGGTGAGACAGCTGCATCACAGGCTACAGGAAACAAGAATGTTGCACTGCACGTAACTTCCCTCTCATATTGGTAAAAAGGCAAGGAAAAGATGATCCTTAGAGCAACACTAATTATACTATACTAATTATACTATACTTTTTCCCCACTGAGAAAAGAAATTGATGTTCATTCATGCAAATTGCTTGCCCACAGCTGCCTCTGTATGACGTTAAGCAAACTAATAGTATCTCCTAAATTAGAATTACACAGAAGATGGACTAAATGACTAGATGATCTCTAGAAGTCGCTTCTAACCTTAACCATTGTGTGTGTGATGTCAAGGTGCCCTTCTGCATGTTTTGGAGAGGTTTTCAGGAGGTAGATATCAGAAATGGTTTGGTGGTAGTCACTCTGTAGTGGCAGAGGCTGCGCTCTCCCTCCAGGTAATCTTTGTTTGGGGAAGAGATTTTATTTTATTTTATTTTTTGCAGCTTCCTCACCTGGTCTGTTAGCCTGACTAGCTGACAAAGCCCTGGGAACGCTGAGGGCTGCGTCCTCCGCAGCTTCTTCCTTTCTGTGATTCCCTATCATGCTTGAATTTCAGTCTGTGCACGCTTCTAAATGGGTAGAGTTTAATGGAGTTAAATTGCTAGATTTACTTAGAAGGTGTTTAACCAAATCTCATTTTAGCCTGTTTACAAAAAGGCCATGGATTCCTTACCATATTAGGTTATTTTTCATTTGAGAGCATAATGAGTTTTTTGACAGCCATTAAATTTTTCTGTAGAACGTAAAACTCAGAAAATGAACTACGCTATGTCCACTTTTGCACTGATAATTCTGTTTATACCGTTTTATATGATGTCTTCCATAGTCTCAAAAAAAAAAAGAAAAAAAAAAAGAAAAAAAGGGGTTATATATGCGTATTTCTTTCTGTTCAGTAATTTGTTCTTTCCATTCATTTATAGCTGATTTTCTTGTACAAATGGAGGGAAAACCAAAATGTTGCTTCTTTAAGTTTAGCTCTAAGATACAATATAACAAAGTAGTAAAAGCCCAATTGTGGATATACTTGAGGCAAGTCCAAAAACCTACAACAGTGTTTGTGCAGATCCTGAGACTTATTAAACCCATGAAAGACGGTACAAGATATACTGGAATTCGATCTTTGAAACTTGACATGAACCCAGGCACTGGTATTTGGCAGAGTATCGATGTGAAGACAGTGCTGCAAAATTGGCTCAAACAGCCTGAATCCAATTTGGGCATCGAAATAAAAGCTTTTGATGAGAATGGACAAGATCTTGCCGTAACTTTCCCAGGACCAGGTGAAGATGGATTGGTAAGTTTATTTAGACAAATCCCATTTCAACATCTTGCATTTTATTGGAAAGCGTTTAAGTTGTGTTTTAGGGAACAAATGGAAGCATTATTGAGGGAGTGGAAGATGAAAGTTCTTTAAAATCAATCCATTCGATTCTTTGCTCTCTAATCATGTCAAAATTGCATAACATTCCTACATCCGCAGTTCCATACATGAAAAACTGAGACGGTTGCCTTACTTGAGAGAGATGTTGAGAGGCATTAACTGGAAAATGCTTTATTTGCTACAGATGGATGGTACTGCTGAAGCGACATTAAATTCAGATTCTAGAGCTTAAAAAAAATAAATATTGCTTCATAAGAAGTTACTTTGTATAAAATTTAAAAACAGAGTCATTAGGTCCTTTTACTCGTCATCTCAACCTGAGTTGCTTCAAATACTGYAGACAAAGCTTCACATGGCAAAGCATGACAAACCATGAGAGAGTTTTCCTTAAACCCACATGCACATATTAACAAAATGAGAATTTTCTATGAGAGAACAAATGTTTTTCAGAATCTATCTTAAATTATAGATAGAATGTATTGCTCCATCTACTAGAAGTGCTTGAATAGAGAAAGTCTGCTACATGCAATCAGTGGTAGGTATAYTGAGAAAGATCTTGCTTTAGAGCATAGAAAAGCTATCAGGTTTCACTTTGTAAGTATGAATGAACAAACTAAATCTGAAGTGCACCAGTTAAACTCCAATGTTTTCCTTGTTTCCCCAGACCACGAGTCATCTCCAACCTGTAAAAATTTCTGAGCCTACATTACTGAAACAATTTCAACCTAGAAATTTCTGCTCTTGAACAAAATATCTTGCAGTAGATGATGCTGTTCATGCATCTGTGTAATGCTTAGTTTCTTAGCAGTATAATACACTTAAAAGAACTTAACGAAATTAAGCACTGTGCTATCTTAAATTCTATCTCAATGATAGAAATGAATCTTCTACAGCTGAAACAGGTCAGCTAAGAGTTACGATAGGGGATGTCTTTACTACCTCYACCTGTCTGAGTATTCAACACTGTGTTTTCAAACGTGTTGACAGCCCACGGTTTCCCTGTAGGTATCACTTGTAAGAACAACTCAAGGGGACAGAGGTGCAGGTGTATTCCTGGCCATCCCTCGAGCATCAGGGTGTTTTGGTAGCGCCAGTGCTGGAGGAGCTGTGGCCCTAACAGTGGCCAACATGGAAGGGAGATTAGCTGTGCTATTAGCTGGGCTATTCATCCTCRAGGAGTAGCGTCATGCAGGTCCTGGCCACAGAAACACAAGCCTGGTTAGGTCAGCTTTGCGCCAAGTACACGCACCACATCGATATCAATCTGGAAAGGAGGAAACATCAACAAGGTTCTCGAGCTCATGACCATCGAGGCTGTGAGTCCTTTCTTTTCGCAGTCGGTAACTGCGCAAACGCACCTTCAGTGCAAAGCATGTGCCTCCAGGACTTCCCAAGAGTAGGTTCCTGGCCACTATGCTCTGTAAGCAGCCAACGCATTAGAGGCCCATGCAAATTCTGTGCAATGAGTCAGTTCTCTATAGCAGAGGTGAAAGCTGTGAGGCCAGAGGAGCCTCTATTAACAGGCAAAACTTCTTTTTATGCTACCATATCAATCCTTCAGAGCAGTTAGCAATTACAGACCAATTTCTCTCCTCCTTTCCTTGGCTGGAAAAGCAGTCTCCCTCAAACCTGCACTAAACTCTTTTGGTAAATTAAGTGTAAATTTTGTAAATTAATTGTAATTAAAGAAAAAAGAAAACAATAAAAAATATAGCGTCCTCTAAATTATTGAAAATGTCTTTTAACAGTTAGCAGAAGTGATGTTGGCTGGCACTGAGGGTTACAGGAAAAAATTACAACTCCTTAGAGAGGAACAGTAGGTAAGATTCCAGTCCTCAGCATGAGGAAGAGGAATAATCCTTAAGAAAATATCTAAGGCAGCAAAAAATTTGAAGAACAAAAAATTGTCTGAGGAGCAGAACTTGAGAAAGATTTACAATCATCATTTGAGRATATGAATTTGGTACAATCTATATGTGAGCTATTATCTATTTGCATGCTCTTTACTGACCTGACTCGTAGCTACTTCCATAATATTTCCAATTCCATTTCCTCTCCTCACAGAACCCATTTTTAGAAGTCAGAGTTACCGACACACCGAAAAGATCCCGCAGAGATTTTGGCCTTGACTGCGATGAACACTCGACAGAATCCCGATGTTGTCGCTACCCGCTGACAGTGGATTTTGAAGCATTTGGATGGGACTGGATTATAGCACCGAAAAGATACAAAGCCAATTACTGCTCTGGCGAATGTGAATTTGTATTTTTACAAAAATATCCACACACTCACCTGGTGCACCAAGCAAACCCGAGAGGTTCAGCAGGTCCCTGCTGCACACCTACCAAGATGTCCCCAATAAACATGCTATATTTCAATGGAAAAGAACAAATCATATATGGAAAGATACCAGCTATGGTAGTGGATCGCTGCGGGTGCTCATGAGATCTTCGTTAGCTCCAATACTTCATAAATCATGGAAGCTACCAAAAAAAGTTATAGCCCCTCATCAGTCTTTGAAACTGGGAAATCACATATGACATCCAAGTGCTGACATCCAACCCGCTGTATGATACAGAACAGATTTAGGACAACACAAGCGAATGAATGTGAACTTAAAGACAATATAGGTACCTAATGGTTGGCTTTCAGCCGTTGAAAAAGAAAAACTACAATCAAAATCACCAGATATGACAAATGCATTTCTTACATGGTGAGGGAATCAATATTCAGTGATTCAGACAAAAAATTATATGCAGGTTTCAACATATGTTGGTATGCAGAAAGTAAGCTCCTTGCACCTGGATGAGGGGGGAGTGGGCTTTTTAACTATTTCTCCACAGCTTCATTTAATACGGTACTTACAGAAAAATAAACACTGGTAACATATACACCACTACACAATCCCACCAGAATTGTCCTTCAACACTTGAATATATAGTGTAGAATTTTGAAAYGTATAAAATGAAATTCCACATAAATGGACAAATCCTGAAATTGGGGATGGTATAGTGTATTCTGTGTGTTTCCATTCCTTTTTTTTTTTTTTTTTTATTTCATTAGTATGTTAGTAATCAATGGCAATGGTGCTATGTAAGCAGGCTGAGTAAATATAAAGGTAGTTATCTAATTGAAAGAATTTAGAATAATAACGAATTTGCCCTCTCCTCAGGTATAATACTACTCAACTTTCACAAAAAAATAGTTTTTTTTTTCAATTAAAGTGAACAGTTTTCTAGATATAGTGAATCAAAAGGCAGACAAGAAGTCTAACATTGAAATTATAATCCCACATTATAATCTGCCTTTGCAACATTACCGTTTGCACTATGATAAACCAATGCAAATAGTTGATTGCCACAGATATCGTTAAAAAAAATTTTGATATAACTGACTTGTGTAATATGTATGCCTCAATATTTTGTAAATAAATGTTTATTTTTTAATCACTGTTGGTATATGTTCATGAAAGAAAAGACTGAAGTTAACCTCTACTTTTGTTTAATAAATAACCTTCTCTTCATAACACGACTTCCTGGGTTTTAACACAAGTAATATGTAGGTAAAATAATGAACAATGCAATGAAGTAAACCATATGTTGAGAATTATAGTACATTTTATATGTTTTTTACATTGATATGAGCCATCTGTGGATAAATGATGGGTGTTGACATGTTTATAAGGTTCTTTGGGACATTGTTTTTATGGTCATTTTGATCCACAACTGATTTTACATACTTTGAATGTTATATCCATAAATAATGATGATACCATAAAAGATGGTTATTAAATGCATTTTCTTATATTTAAAAATTTGTGGCCAAGTGCAGTCTTTGAGTAAACATRGTAAGCGTGATTTCCACATGAATTCTGTATGTTTTCCTTATAATGAGAAACTGTTAATCAAAATTAAACATCTTTTTACTATAAAGTCCATTTCTTTTTGCATTTAAAATCTGACTGACAAAATAGACACTTGTTAAGGCAACACAATCACTGTTAAAACATCCAGATTTTAGCATGTTATATCCCAGAGAACACTTTTAAATTTTATAATCTTTTTGCACAAAGGAAAATTTGAAACATATTTGATTTTCTTTTCCTTTTCCCTTCTGTATTTTTTTCTGTCAGGATGGGAAATATTTTGTATTGAGTCTTCTACTATTTTATTTTCATGTAAGGACATAAGCTACTGCTTGAGTGACATTCAGAATTTTAAAAAATCCAAACTTTTTAAAAGAATTGGTGGATCTTTTGGAACTATGCTGCATTCTGTTAAAGCTCTGTCCAGGTATGCAATTTCTTCCAATGTAGTTCAACATAGCAGATCTCTGGGRCACTTAAATATATATTCAACATAATTTCCCACCAAGCACATTTAGAGTAAACAAAACGTATTTCAGAAATACTTAGGATACTAAAATACAATATGAAATAGAACTGTCAAGAAATCAAAGTTGCTGCTTCTCTGAAAAGAGAGATCACAGAASCAAGGGAGAAATCCTAGGTTGGTTTAAGTCAACGGCAAAACTTCCACTGACTTTAAAAGATGCCAACATTTTACCCTTTGACTTTGAACTTGTGACATTCAGGCATCAGACAGTTCAAATGAGCAGCACAGTACTATTGGATGTTCGTGTGCACAACCTGGGCCTTTAAGTATAGCAAATTCCCCTGAAACTGAGGGGGAAATTCATCTGAAACCTCCTCTGCGCTCAAGCAGTTGGACCTTCCCTTGGTCCGGGACGTTCAGACAACAGCAGAAGCGAAGAAACCCCAGACTGGGGTGGGGAGTGGGCGTTGCAGTTCCTAAATGCCTCTGCTGCAGTCACTATAGCATTCCTTCTTGAGGAATCCTTTAGATTTTGCCTAATCTCRGCATTATTACAGGACCCCACTGATTCATATGTTCTTAGCGCTGACTCTACATATCAACGGAGGGTGCATTGTGCTTCTAGTTTGCTGGTTTTAGCCCTGGAATGGCTCATAATCTGTGTATTTACTGACAAKGAATCAGAGATGCAAGAGGCCTAATCATTCAGTTAGATAAGATAGTAAGATAAGTCCTTACCCACTGGTATTTCCAAGGCTCAAGTCCTAGAGACTTCAGTGGCATATGCAAGTTCTTCGCGGGCATCTCAATAGCCAAATTCTGCATTGACACCATATCCTTTTCCTCCTCCTCTCTTAGGGCTCCCCTTTGGACCTTGAATTGGTCTCCGTGCCCTATCCCTGCTTGTGCACAGGGGCTTACACTGCGTCTCGCCTCCTGCTCTTCATGCTGCTCTGGCATGTTCAAAAGGAACAGCAAAAGGCCATTCGCATTCATAATATTAAATATTTGCCCCTGATTCTGTATGTTAGGTTAGCTTTTTGAGGTTTTTTTTTTTTTTTAATTTCTTTTTTTAAACCAGCAAGTTTACTTAACTGACTCATTCTTGGAAGAAAACGAGCTCTTTTGGCTAAATGTCTTAAAAAGAGAAATCATCTTGAGACTAAGATTGGAAAACTCAGGCAGTTACCTATTTGTTAAAGCTGCAGCAAGGTAAAACAGGATATTATAATACAAAGGGCAAGACAAACTTAACAACCAAATGCCAAAGCATCCATCACAAATTTAGCGACTAAAGTTGGGAAATAACAGGTTATGGAAGGCACGATGTAGAAATGCTACATGTCAAATTTGGTTCAAAAAGCACCATACCTCCAAAATTTAGCAAAAATATCACAGAGAACTGCAGTTACCCAATTTAATTATCCCAGCCATACCAGGGGCTTGCACTTTAGCTTCATCTTAAATGTCACCTCGAGAAATAGCATGCCTCTTAGCATCAAGGATACATATCCTCTGATTTAATAAGAAGCCACATGGCAAGGAGCCACTTGGTAAATCAACTAATGCTGCTGCATCTGCTTTTCTATGTAAACTCCCCCTGCAAGCAGCAAGATGGTAACTCTCCTTTGAACTGAATGAAGTGCATTCCTGTAACTACAGAATCAGATAATAACGAGATCTGGAAAAGACTAAAGCCCCCAGTTCTCATCTCATTTTGCTTTTAAAGGTCCTGATGAGATCCAAAGGAAGAGGTTAGGACTATGGGCCAACTTCTGACCTAAAACAGGGATGAAGTGCAGCTCTATTCACTCTTAACTATTTCTAACTAATTTGAAAGCAAGTAGCTGTAGCAGTAACCCCTTGGAAAAGAAAGCAATAGGTAAGTGTGATTGTACAGTTGATTCAGCACTAAACTGCTGCAATTAATATATATGCATGCATTGCTAAATTATCCAGAACCATTCCCTTTGATGGATGCACTGGCTAAACCTGGAGTGTGACGAAATAATAAGGATTCTACTATACGTATATTGGCACTGCAGAAATGCAGATGATGACAACTCATGAACTTCTCTTCAGGTTCGGTGATGAGATCTGCAGTGACCTTTTCCTTCATTTTGCATCTAGTTCTGAGAACTTCAGATCTTTAACTGGAAGAAAACCAGAAATTGGTTCCACAAATTTCTTTTGACGAAAGAGCTTAGTTAGAACAAAATTTGATTATTCGGTTTTGGTCATGAAGTCTTTGCAAGACTTTTCGAGATCCGCTCCCACGGACCCTAATTCTGATTCAGAAGCCAGTTGTTTCTTGGCAGTATTACTGCGCATCACAAGCGAGGATTTACCAACACCTTCGCCAGTAATTTAGGCCAAACACCATAACCCCAAAGCTTTCTTGCACCACAATTTAAGTTATCCATATTAGATTCTGCCCAAGACCTTTACACTTACGAAAAGGATAGAAAACTATATTAGTTAAGATGGATGCAGGCTTTCTGAGGAARAAGAGGCTGAGAAAGTGATAAGGCTGGTCTTGAGTGCATTAATATGCATTTAGCTTGCGTGAAGTTATTAAACTTTGGAAAAAGTAGCATGCTAGCGAAGGGCATAGGGACTTGGAGAAGAGGGCAGCCCGTRTAGGAGGGAAGCCAGCAAGGGAGACATGGTGGTGAACACCTGATGAAGAGCTGAGAAGCTTTTTTTAAAGATCTAGAAGCTTCCTAACAGTATAATATGGAGACTTGATCTATCCCAGTATCTGCTGGAAGGACGACCCAGCAGGGCACACACAATCTGAGAGATTTCTACAGGACATTGGACACAGGTTCTGGAGAAGTTCTCCGTCTCACAGGTAGGGAGAAGCTGATTAGGAATGTGTTAATTGAAGACAACTTTGTACATATAAGCCCTATCTACATATGCAGGAGCAGGATTTGGTCTGGKTTTATTTTACCTGAAGGAGAGAATGATAAGGGGAATCTAGTTACTACCCTCAAGTAGCTGYCAGGAGGGTGTTAGAAAGAAGCTGGAGCCAGGATCTTCAGTTGTGCACTTCAAAAGGACAAGAGGCAAYGGTCACATACTGCTGTGACATCAAACGGAAAGAAAAAAAAAACCAACAGAACTCCAGCAAAATAAAAATAAGAAAATGCTGCCAGAGACTGAGGAATGTCCATCCTTGGTGATATTCAGACCTTGACAGCACAAGACTCCCAAGCAGATGACTTAACCTTGAAGTCAACCCTACTAGGTAATCACTAAAGCTCCATTTAAAACCAAACTCTTTTGCAAATCCAGACCAAAAAAGTCTATRTTTTTAATCAACAGATTCAAACACACAATGG